CGGAGATAGACGCCCTCGGTTGCAGCTCCAAAGGCATGCTTCAGCATGACAGCAAAGAAGATCCCAAACAGGGTCGGCACAAGGACACAGCCCTGTTTCACTATGCTTTGGATGTCAAAGGGATCTGATGTTGAGCCATCAAAAACTATAGTGCCCTTCATTTCCTCATGAATGGACCTGATTATGTTAAGGAGTTGAGGTGGACATTCAATCTTGATGTATTTTAAAAAGGCTGCCCCTGCTAACCAAATCAAAGGCCTATATAAGATCTATGAAGGCCACAAAAAGTGGCTCATTGTTCCCTACATTTCTCCTGGAATTGTCTGAGGAAGAATACCATGTCGATGGTGGATCTATTAGCTTGAAATTCACATTGTGACTCTGCCTGCAAGCACCTGAAGTCTCTTCAGCACAACACGAGCAAGCAGCTTCCCTACAACGCTGAGAAGAGGGATGCCATGGTACTTATTGCAGTCACCCGTCTCCTTTGTCCTTTGTTCTTATACAATGTGACTATGTATGCATTCTTCATTTCCTGTGGTACTCCACCTGCCCTCCAGCAAAGAAAACAGATTTCATACAGCTCAGTGGTGATGATCTCCTTACAGCTCTTCAACAGGGTGTTATCCTTTCCAGGTGCATTGCTGCAGGCGAGGGAATCCAAAGCCGCTTTTATTTCTGCTAAAGTTGGTTCGCTGTCCAACTCTTCCAAGACAGGCTGGCACTCAATGTTATTTAACGTCTCTTCAGTTACTGCATTCTCTCTAGAATATAGCTTAGAGTAGTGCTACACCCAGCGTTCCATCTGCTGTACTCAGTCCTGGATGATCACACCTGTAGTAGTCTTCAAAGGAGCCGATTTCTTCTGTATTGGACCTGAAACCTGCTTGATACCATCATACGTTCCTTTGATTTTACCTGTGTCTGCTGCTATCTGTATCTGAGAGCAGAGCTGAAGCCAATAATCATTAGAATATCTCCTGGCAGCCTGTTGAACTTTGCTACGATCAACTTGAAGAGCCTGCAAGTTTTTGAAATGTTGCCATTGTTCAGGTGCATTTGCATCAGCTGAACCTGGAAGGGTTTCCTCAAATGCTTGGGCAAATTCCTCCACTTTTCTTTGATTGCGAGTTTTGCTGATGTCAATACATGGTCTACCTTCCTTTTTCGTGTGATACAATCTCTTTGTTCGCAGATTTACTCTACTACACACCAGGGAGTGATCAGTATAGCAATCAGCACCCTGATAACTGTGTGTGATCATAATACTAGGAAGGCTAGAGCATCTAGTGAGGAATCAAGCTGATGCCAATGTTTCGATCTTGGATGTCTCTAGGAAACTCTGTGTTGAAGCTTCATATTAAAGAATGTGTTGCTCACACAAAGACCATAATACCGTAACAGCAAAACGGCAGCATAATTAGAATTATAGTTCCATCTATAGTTCTAAAATTAAGTGCAATTTTGCAGAAGAAATAAAATATTGCCCAGTTCTCCTCCTCTTACGAAAAATGTATCAAGCTAATTTGTATGGAAAGCTATTGTAGAGGCTGCTAGGTAGAAGAGAGTAGGACATTCTGCTTTGTCTTAATGTCTTGAAATCCTTTTGCATGGTGTCACAATTAAAGTAGGCCCATTGAATAAATAGTACTTATGGAGAAGCTAACTAATCAAATCCCCAATGATTCAATGGGCCTACTCTAGTTGCAATTCACCATACCAAGAAACATGAACAGTGATTTAAATCTTTGCTTATCCCACCCTCACATGTGAAAAAAAACCCACAAAAATTGTCCTCATTCCCTTCTGCCCATTTTGATAACAGTTTTTGCAGTGCAAGCATGATTTTCTCAAAGTTGCAAGTAACAAACCACACTCTTAAACTATAATACCTGCTACCTTCTTGGACTGATTCTGAAAAATTAAAAAGCAAAGCAAAGTGTGCTGCTTATATACCGCCCTATAGTGCTTAAAGCACTCTATGGGTGGTTTACAATTCAATTATACAGGTTAAACATTGCCCGCCCCCTGCAGCGAGCTGAATACTCAATTTATCAACCTTGGAAGGAACAGATACTGTAGCTGAGTACTCAATTTATCAACCTTGGAAGGATCAGATACTGTAGCCTGTTTGTATCTTTCTGATCAATTAGCCATAGTTCTTCTGTGCCTGCTGTGTGTGCGTGTGTTTCTGTGCTTTGCTTCATAAAGATAAGGTGTGATTTCCCAGAAATTATGTGAATAGGTGAACTGCACAAACTGCAAAAACTACAACAAAAAAGTGTTCAATGCTACATACTTGCACTGAGGGCAAGACGTTAATGAACGTTTGAGCAGCTGCTTTGACATTTTTTGAAAAAGAATGTCTCATTAAGAACAAGTAATTTAGCAAGATTTCTTAACTACACTGGAACAGTACAATTACCTAGTGTGTTTGTTGTAATGTGTGTTATTTTAAAATCAAGATATTTTTATACCATCCTGGTATCTACAAGACTGGCTTCATAGAGAAATGAACAACTAAGCCTCATTTCTCTGCCTTTCCTTTTTTTAACACCGTTGTAAAATATCCCAAGCAAAAGGAGATGCATAGGTAAATTTCCTAACATTTTAAGTTGTCTTCATTGATATGCACACTGAATTTCAAATCCAATTGGCAGAGACTGGGAAAATTACTTTGTTGGACTACAACATGCAACAGAATCCTGGTTGGCAGATTCTATAATCCAAAATGCAAGTTTTCCAAGTACAGCCAAACAGATTACCCATTCAGCATTCTCGGTCCAGCAGACCATCTGGTCCCAAGCAAGGCTTAAATTACAGTTGTGCCTCGCTTTACGATTGCCCCACATTACGACAAATCCGCTTTACGACAATCTTTGTCTAAATGGTCTAAATGGGGGAATTTTGTTTTGTGATGATCAGTTCCCTGCTTCAGGAACCAATTCTTCGCAAAATGATGTTTTTTAAACAGCTGATCGGCGGTTTCAAAATGGCCACCGGATAAATGAAATGGCTCCCCGCTGTGTTTAGGGACGGATTCCTCACTATACAGGCAGCAAAAATGGCCGCCGTATGGAGGATCTTCGCTGGACGGTGAGTTTTAAGCCCACTGGAACGCATTGAAAGGTTTTCAATGAGTTTCAATAGGCTTTTTATTTTCACTTTACAATGTTTTCGCTTAACGGCAATTTTCCTGGAACGGATTATTGTCGTTAAGCGAGGCACCACTGTATTTGCATTGGGATTTTTCAGTGGCAGCTTCTTGCAACCTGGGCAAGCAGCAGAAAAAACATTCACGCCATACTTCCAACTGTATTTTTAGAACAACCATAGACAATGACACAATTTGTTACTCTGGGTCCTTATTTCACACAGAACAAGCATAAAAAAACCTACCACATGTGCAAGTCAGTTAACCATCATGAGAGAGAAGAAAATACTAACCTTCCAAGTATATCTTGATAAAGTCTAGGCAAAACTGTAAAAGAAGATCTAAATTATCAAAAATGTCTCAGTAACAACCTTCCCAATTAGCATTTTATATTTGGAGAAAGAAAAGAAAGAAACCTCAGCATTGCATATTTTAACCCAAAAGCCATTCTCTGACTTTCAGATATCTCATTCCATGACACATCACAAAATCTATTTTTAAAAAATCCCCAGGACATAATAATGTATTGTGTGTAGTTGTTACACTCTGATGAGCTACAACGAAGAAACTGTTTTAACTAAAACCTGTGAGCATCTCTCCCGAATATCTACTAAGTGGGGCGTGGATCCTTTTGAAATTAACTGCCTATAGCTTAAGCAACTCAGCTGAGCCTATAGATAACTAACATTTGCTCAACTGACTGCAAGTACAGATGGAATAATCTTATTGCACATCACTGAGTGTCACCATCTGATTTGCTAGGCATACAAAGTAACACTGGCACACATGCATAATGCACGTAAGTCATAATTTCCTTGTTACAGGAAAAGAAATTAGAAAATCCAGACAGAGTAGAATGTGAATGTTACTCTTAATTTTAAATTACAGTACTACATTAATGCAATCCCTCCAAACTAAGACCATATTTGATAAAATGTTTCACTATTTACTATCCAACATGCTTGAATTTCTATGTGGAAAAGAGGCCAAAAACACTGAGAAATATCCATAGATACTGCATTCTGTTTGAAGTTCAAACAATTCCAACAGTAGCCACTCCTGTCCACATTTCTACATTGCAGGATTACATACAGCACACAACAGTTCTAGCTCAGTGTTCACCTGGATGTCAGATCTGAATACCTATTTTCCCCACCCCAACAAGCTCTTTCATTTTGCTCCTTTATGATTTAAACTTTCATGTTGCAGACATACTTAAGTCTTGCTTCCCTCCCCAATCTCCTCCCTTTGACGTCCATATCTACAGTTACCATCTACTGCCACTGTCATTCTCTTGATCTTATCTTCAGGAACTATGGTCTGGGAGCTGCTGTATTGTGGAATTCTCTGCTTCTGACATCACTATGCCTTCTTCAAACCACATGTACTTTCTATCTTCCTCACAACTCCTTCCATGATGCATCATTTCCGTCTGTAGCTCAGAAGCACAACTCTTCTTCTCTCAACAACATCTATCAGGGCAAACAGCATGTGGCATGCCACCTGCATGCAGCCGTGAAAGATATAGTCATGGCCAAAAATATTGGCACCCTTGCAATTCTGACAGAAAATGCAATCCTTCTCTCAAAAAATTGTTGCAGTTCCAAATATTTTGGTACTCACATGTTCATTTCTTTGATTTGTGTTGGAACAACACAAAAAAAGAGAAGAAAAGTCAAATCTGATACAATCTCACACAGAAACCCAAAAATGCACTGGCCAAAATTACTGGCACCCTGTGTAACTTGTAAGAAAAATTGCTTTTCAAGCATGTGATGCTCCTGTAATTTTTATTTATCGCAAATAAGAGATGTGGGCAATATAGTAATCCCACTTGCAACCAGTTAAGATGGAGAAAAGTTGACTCAACCTTTTCGCTGTGTGTGACACTGAACATGGAGAAAAGAATGAATTATAAAGAGTTGTCTGTGGATTTGAGAGAAAAAATTGTGGACAAACATTGACAATCTCAAGGCTACACCTCCAGAGATCTTAAAGTACCTGTGTCCACTGTGCACAATATCATCAGGAGGTTTACAGCCCATGGCACTGTAGCTAACCTCCCTGGACGTGGATGGAAGAGCAAAATTACTGAAAAATTACAATTAAGGGTTGTAATTCATTACAATGAATGGTGGATACAGAACCTAGATTAACTTCCAAACAAATTCAAGCTGATCTGCAGACACAGGGTACAGCAGTGTCAGCTTGCACTATCCGTCACCATCTGAATGAAAAAAGACGCTATGGTAGGAGACCCAGGAGGACACTACTGCTGACACAAAGGCATAAAAAAGCAGGACTGGAGTATGCCAAAACATACGTGACAAAACCACAATCTTTCTGGAAGAATGTACTGTGGACAGATGAGACAAAAAGGACAGCTTTTTGGTAAAGAACATCATGGCACTGTTTACGGAAAAAGAAACGAGGCATTCCAAAAAGAGAACACAGTCCCTACAGTCAAACATGGTGGAGGTTCAAAGATGTTTTGGGGTTGCTTTGCTGCTTCTGGCACTGGATGCCTTGACTGTGTGAACAGTATCATGAAATCTGATGATTACCAAAGAATTTTGGGGCACAATGTAGTGGCCAGTGTCAGAAAGCTGTGTCTCCACCAGAGGTCATGGGTCTTCCAGCAGGACAATGACCCGAAACACACTTCAAAAAGCACTCAGAAATGGTTACAAACAAAGCGCTGGAGTGTTCTGAAATGCCCAGCAATGAGTCCAGGTCTGAATCCCATAGAACACCCGTGGAGTGATCTCAAAACAACAGTGGGGAGAAGGCATCCTTCAAATATGAAGGCCCTGAAGCAGTTTGCAAAAGAAGAGTGGTCCAAAATTCCAACAGAGGTGAAAGAAACTCAGTCATGGTTACAGGAAGTGATTGATTTCAGCTATTTTTTCCAAAGAAGGTACTACCAAATATTAAGTTAAGGGCACCAATAATTTTGGAGAGTGCATTTTTGGGTTTCTGTGTGGGATTGTATCAGATTTGACTTTTCTTCTCTGTTTTGTTTGTGTGTGTGTGTGTGTGTGTGTGTGTGTGTGTGTGTGTGTTTGTGTGTGTGTGTGTGTTGGTCCAACGCAAACCAAAGAAATGAACATGTGAGTACCAAAACATTTTTTACTGCAACAATTTTCTGAGAGAAGGGTTGCATTTTCTGACAGAATTGCAAGCATGGCCATAACTGTATGTTTCAAATCCCTAGCATGCCCTGCCCAATACCATTTGGGCGGGGGGGGGGAATTAAAGAGCCACTAGTGCCATCTGGGTGAGCAATTTTATCACTCCATACAGCAATTTCTTTAAAATGTATTGTGGCCAATGGAGGCAACAAGGTAGTTTTATCAATTTAGAAACATGTTTGTAAAACCCTTTTTCAGTTATTAAAAACTCACAGTAGAAATGTTGACAGTATGTGACCACTGCATTTAAAAACAGAGTAATTTAAAAAATCAACTATACAAACTAACCTCTTTGATAATATCCCTCCCCTTTATCCTGATGTCCTCGATAGCACAACCTTTTGATAGCTGGTCGATCTAAAATTGGCCCTCAACCCCCCTGCGATTACCTACTTTTGCTTTAAATTGTTCAACATTTCTTCATCTCCTCAGTAACTTCATGCTTTAACACAGATGCACAGCAATTCCATTTGCCATTCAAACAGAAGAAAATGCTAAATCACAAAAATAATTTTTTACTTACAATTACAGGTTCTATAACCATTCTTCGCAGAGTTCCTATTCTTATACTGCGGCAATTTAGGATGACGCTTTCTTGGTATTTTAAGGGTGCACCAACATTAGCTGCAATCTCATGGGGAAGAACTTTACGGCGTTTTACTGGAGCACTGGATACAGTATTGCCAAACTGGAAAACAGTCATTATTGTCATTAAAACACTGGTTTATTAGACGTTAAGTTCTAATGGCTGTTGCTTAGCTTGGTGAATCACATTAGAATAGGTCCATTTAATCAATGGAAATTTATTGAGTCAACACCTCCATAAGTTTCATTGATTCAAATGGGTGTACAGTACTCCAAATGCAACTTACTTTAGTATAATAAGTTGCAGTTAGATTTGACCCATTCAAATCAATGGAAATTACAGAGGAGTTGAGTTACCAAACCCCCACTGGCACATAACCAGGAGTCAGTACCTCATTAATTAGCAGAAATTCAACACTGCAGCATATGTTAATTCATTTATACATGTATAAATGACTAACAGGATTCTGCCTGTTGTTTCTTAAATCCATGATTAAAATCTAGGTTACTCAATACTGCATTTAAAATTACTGTCCCATGTTTCCATGACTGTTCATTTTTGTCGCTTGAATGTTTATACAGTGCTTTGATATTCAGTTATGTATGCCTAATATTTTGAATATTCTGCATAAATATCAGGGCATCTTTGCACGCCTTCTCCTCGTTTTTAATTGATGTATCTCTGTACAATATTGTTTCCATGCTGGGTATGTAATACTCACAAGAATCTCAAGAAACTAGACATTTTAAAGCTTTATAAAATTCTTAAGTCAGAGGATCAATTCAATTATTAATTATGGATACTCCTTTACAGAACTGCTGTCATGACTATTAAGTCTTGAGATTAACATACCGTGAAAGTTGTCCCCCTTGACAGCACTTAAGGAGCCTGTTCATGGTGCATTTTTGTCTTTGTTTATCCAATTCTTGCAGTGATGCTCAAACTAAAAAACAAAAATCCCCACCATGAAATCCTGACAATAAAGTGCTATTAATTGGGACAATTTTCAATGTGTTTTATATTAAGGAATGTAGGTGTCGGGTTTAATGACATCTGATTCACACTTACCATCACCACCTTTGGAGCCAATTTCCTGTGGCTCCTTGATATTACAGAAACCAAAAATAGAGGAGCTGGACCACCTGAAAGACACATACTCTTCCCCAAGGACCAGTTGCTCATACTGTTAACACTGATGTGGTGATCCCGCTCCTCTATCATGGCCCTAACCACCTTAACTGCCAAAACAAGATGGAAAGCAGGTACATGAAGCGTACCATACTGCTCCATACTGCTAAGGCCCACATTTATTAACAGCTTTAATTAGGCCAAAAGATCTGACAGCAGCCAGTAGGGACTTACTTTCTGTTTTGAAAGAAGCACCCCTACACAACCTCCAACCCTGCCCCAAACATTGTACAGTGGTGCCTCGCACAGCGAGGTTAATCCGTTCTGGATTAACCCTCGCTGTGTGAAAGCATCGTTGAACACACTGGATGAACCCATTGGATGAACCCATTAAACATGGTTTAATGCGTTCCAATTGGGCCGAATACTCACCGTTCAGCGATGCTTCAGGATGGTCGGCAGCCATTTTTGTGCTTGGTTTAATGCGTTCCAATTGGGCCGAATACGCGGCCATTTTGGGGCTTCCGGCGGCCATTTTGCAGCCGCCGAACAGCTGATCGGCGGGTCGCAAAGCGAAGGTCGGTAAGCGAACCACTTACCGACCTTCGCTCTGCGATTTTTGCCCTATGCAGGCACCGTTTTGCGATCGCATTTGCGATCACAAAACCGGCCTCGTATAGCGAATTCATCGCTCTACGAGGTGCCCGTTGTGTGAGGCACCACTGTATTTTAAAAACTTCCCAAGTTCCAAAAGCATCTTCTTATGCAGTCTGGTAAATGTGATGCCTTCCAAGAGATGTTTGTGTGTATTATTAGCCACACAGTACTCCAGACCATGGATTACTATAATTAGCCAATATGCAAAGAGATTAAAGACAACCCAATATGCATAAGGTTGGAGCTAGAGCAAGTCAGCCAGCTTAGTCAGTTGAAATCAATAGAACAAGCTTGTAATTAATGCAACCCTCTGGGTCCAGCTAACAATTATAGTGCTATGCCTACATTATTAAGAGATCCAACTGTGTTTCTACTAACAAACTGCAAAGTATATGTGTGCATTCATCAGAATACATTAATATTTTGTTAATACTGCCTGTGCTTTCAAACTACTTATGAAGTGGCTACCTGATCTTTCATTCTTGCTTTTCTTGGTAATGTAACAGCAGGTTCTGTGTCAGCTGTAATACCAGTTAACCTTTGTTCCAGTTCATGAATGTTCTCCTTCAAGGCTGCCTCCACTTTTCCTGTGGAAGGTGCAGGAGAAGAACAGGCTGAGTCAGCTGGCCGTGGTGATATGCTCTCCATTCTATTTGTGATGCCAATCTCATCATCCTCTTCATCATCACTGGACAAAACAACTGAAAGAAAAGAAAAACAGTTTGAACCTCAGAAGTCAATAACTGAAACTATGACCTTGCAAGAGGTATACTATCAAAGATTATTAAAGGTCCTTTCTGAAGTTTTCATTTGAAAGATCCACTGACTGGACCAAAAAAGGTGCCAATTTAAATACAAGATAACAGAACTCTCTGGATGAAATCCTGTTGCTTAATGTAGCAAGTCACACTAGAATTAGGCCCATTGAATAAGTGGGGATTTGATGAGTCAATTCTTCCATAACTTCCACTGATTCAATGGACCTACTCTAGTTGCAACTATCTAAGCAACAGAATTCCAGCTATTAAAACATACAGCAAAATGCTCTACTGTGTTTATGCAGCAGTCTCCCCAAATGCTTTTCCATACAAATTAATTTCATATGTCTTTCTTCAGGTGAGGGAAGATGCTAAAGCAAGTCACAACTTAACGTAGGCCCATCTGAATCAACAGAACTTAAAAAACGGTTGACTCACAAAATCCCCACTGATTCAAGTGCAACTCACTACAAAAAGCAACAGGATTTCAGCCTGTCTGCTCAACTATTTCTCAACTGGAGGTAGCAAAGTGATTGCATTGTGAATTTTCAGAATAACCTCCCGAAACCATTCAGCAACATATATCATTTTGTTGTTCTTCAAAAGCATCTCCAAAAGAGACTTTTCTGATTAATGAGGTATAAAAAAATCAGGGGAAAACTTACTTGGATCATTTAAATCAGATGTTGTCGTACTTCTCTGCTTTAAGTTTCCCATAATTTTGGAGCTAACTTTTCCATTTGGTCGCAGCATAGTAGGGCCTACATTGCGCCTCACCATGAAATGAACTGAAACTGTTCCTGATGGAGATCCATAAAACTTTTTTGGGTTTACTCCTGCACTTAAAGATTTCTGCCCTGATAAATTCTCAACATGTATTGATTCTCGTGCTAAAGATCCCAAAGAATCATTTACTGCCATGCTTTGAATGCACTGTCTTTGTGAGCCGCCAACACAACAGTTTCCACAAACTTGACATTTGGGCTGACTTTCACTGGTCTTCCCAGCACATGGGCAAACTGCGGAGTAATTATTCTGTTCTGAGCCCTAGGGCAGAAACAAAAAGACAGGCAAATAACCAAGGATATCTTTTAACCATTTTAGAAATATAATAGCTAAGTGAACTTGCATAGATTCTTTAAGATGGGAAAAGAACATTATAAGAATCTGGAGATTTGTATTTGTGAAATCAGGGTAAAAATATTGCCACCAAAATACGAATACATAATTCAAATTAATGAGCCAAATTCTACTCCCTCTTTAGTCTCAAACCTGTGTCATCATCCCCATTCTTCTATCATGTCACTCCTCTTCAATTATCTGTATTGTTTACCTTTGCACTTTCCAAGCCCTCTACTCTTTACTTTGAACACACAGCCCCTCTGCCACAACAGGGCTTCTCACCATATTCCTGCTTAGCTACTGAGTGATCCTATCTAGCTGTCACAAGTTCAAATTTGTTGAAGGGCATTTGTTTAATATGGAATGGAATAGTTACTAAAATTTTCTACATTTATACACATGCATGTCAAGAAAACAAAATCCACCACTTTGAAACTCAGGGATCAATAATGAGAAATCAAGCTGTTCACTTCAAAATAAGTTTGCATGCAAATGCAGTAAGACAAGAACTTTAGATTTTACTGTTATTACTATCAGGGTTCCAAAATCACCTGCAGACAGATTGTCAGAACTCTAATTACTCTGTACTGAACATCTCAAATGCATTGTAACTTTCTAACAATGTCAACATCTGAATTTAACAACACTTAAGAATAACTTAATATATAACCCACCTCTAGGTGGGTAGCACATTTTTTTGTAGCAGGAGGTGGAAGCAAACCAGAGTGATATAAAGTGCAGTGACGTTTCAGTTGTACCTTCCTTGTAATTCCTGAATCTGATTCTGACCCAGATTCTTCTCTGTTCTCCATCACACTTTCTGGAAAGGGAAAGGAAATTCATTACCAACAATTACCCTATGTCCTCAGCTGTTGGCAGCTCTAATTACTTCCTTATCCCTGTTCAAGCAGTGGATGAAATTCTACTAAATGCTTCCCTCCATGCATTTATTACATGAAAAATTAAAGAGTGAAAAGGTACTTTTTTGAAAGTATCTACTGCACACTGTAAACAAACAAAATGGTAGCACCAGATACTAAAATAGAGAATTGCTGATAAACTTCCTTGAAATAATTTAATGTTTCGTTCTGAAAATTATATAAGTAACAACATAGTCCAAAATGCTATTATTTCCCTGGATAATGATTCAAATTCATTAAACAATGCAATAACCCAAGATCTAGCTGTGAAAGGATCCTTAGGATATTAAGAAAAACAAAATATAAAAACACACCAGCACAACCCTGAAAGGGGTGACAGGAATGTCATCCAACAAGACAGTACGTGTGTAACTGTGAGATGCTTCTACTTCACCTTATAAAGACTTAGACTGTAATATGGGCACAGCTTCCACACCAATAGCAGAGAAAAACACCTTACAAAAATCACCAATCCACTTTTCAACCAAAACCAAAATATTCCTTTTTGAGTTTGCAAATATTTTAAATGTTGTGCCCTAACCAAAAACAAGATTATCTCAACACAAGATCATGTGGTACCTTTAAAATGAACAGATTTGTTACAGTCTAAGCTTTTGTGGATAGATTGCCCACTTCCTCAAAGTGGGTTATGTCCAAAGAAGCTTATGCTATAACAGATCTGTCTCCAAGATGCCACATAGCTCTTTATTATTTTGCTTCAACACAGCCATTCCTATGGAAAATAAAACATCATAAGCATTCTAAATAAACCAAGCAATGACAAAAACTGAAGAAACAGCAAAAGGTACTGCTCAACAGCAAAACTAAAATAAAGGTCAGGGATACGTTCAGAATTTTCAAAGCCTTTCCCAAATATGCTTTTTCTCCATACAGAACTGCTTTGATTGAAGGAGACATGTGAATTCACAGAAGCTGAAATCCTGTTTATGTAGCTGCATCATATAATGCTGATGAGAGCATCAGCAATTTTTTGGAAATTAAACATTTTCTCTTCCTCTTGCGTGCTCTGGTCCATGGGGTCACGAAGAGTTGGACACGACTTAACAACTAAACAACAACAACCTCCTCTGTCCTAGTGCTCCCATGTAATCCCTTTCATCATCAGGAACCTGTGGGAGCCACACAATGGGAGGAGAAAGTCTTTAATTATTGAAAATCACTGCCACCAGGATTTCAGCCGGAGTTTATATATATTGCACAACAGTTTAACATGGGCGTTTAATAAAAATAAAGGCAAACTTACTGATCTCCTGAAGCCGAGATAATCTATTACATTCATTATCCATCTTCATAATATTAGGGGGATACTCTTTTCTGGGAAAAAGGAATCACAAGCAAAATTGTCAAAATATATTTGTATATATAAAAATATATTTATACTTCAGAAAAGGGCAACCGAAATTATCAAGAGACTGGAGCAATTCCCTTACAAGAACACATTTGGGGTTGTTTGGCTTAGAAAAAGTGATGAAGAACGAGGTACACATTGTGGGGAAAAACTAAATAGGGTGTTTTTTCCTGACTCCACTAATAGTAGAACCTCAGGCTATCCACTGGAGCTACATGGCAGAGGACTTGAGATAGATAAAATGAAGAGCTTCCTCACACCACACAAAAATAAATTGTGGAATTCTACAGAAGGCAGTGATGGCTGCAAAATCAGACAGTATTAAAAGGAGATATAGCAAATTTAGGACATTGAACAAATTTATATTCCTGAGATACAAAAGATAGTTAGGCCTTCATGTAACAACTACTAGGAAGAATGGTTGCAAGGGTGCTGTGGGACTCACATCTTGCTTGGGGGGTGGCTGGCTCCATGGGGGGCACCCCTGTTCTCATGAGTGGGTGTGTCATGCTCACATGACACACCCACTGTGCATGCATGGGGGGGCAGAGATCCATGTCCGCAGCCCAGTTCAAGGAAGCCCACAGACCAGCACTGGGCTATGGACCGGGGGTTGGAGACCCCTGCATTAGAGCTCTTTATGCCATATACAGGGGGTGTTAAAAATGGGTTACAATTTGCCCTAATGAACTTCACCCTAACAAAGCATTGTACATTATTAAAAGATTGCCTTCTGTGAGGTTCGCAATGCAGTTACTACAGAAAGAAAACTAATCTATTACAATTACATACTGTACATAGATGAAAACAAGGTTTAGGTCAGCATTAGCATTTTATAAGCCATATGTTACGTTCATCTTGTCATTACAGCGGCACCAACTGGCTATTTCTGACACATTATATATTATGATATTACTGGGATAGAAGTAAAACATTTCATGTATTTTCTGACTAATTAAAATTTCACTGTCTTCCTTCCTTTTAGATGCATTCCTGTAATGATTATTCTGAAGTATTACAACCTTGTGTTACTTGTGTTCGCTGCATGCACAGACATGATGCAAAGTCTATGTAGCTAGACAAATTCAAATTTAACAATAACTACATATTAAAAAATAAAACTGGTTTTATACATTAATCAGTTTATTGCAGATGCAGTATCTGATTTTTCATTCATCCTGGAGCTTTTCAATTCAATTTTTTACTTTTTTGTACCTAATTTCCTGTATTACTAAAGGTATATAGAATTGGAAGACTATGCAATACTGGAAATATAATACATGAATACTTCAGTAATTACCACTAACATTAATTGCTTATGGTTGTTGTGGGTTCTTCGGGTTGTTCTTCCTAATGTTTCGACAGTCTCTGTGGCTGACAGCTTCAGAGACCGTGAAAGCCTTCGCGAATACATTAATTGCTTACTTTCTAGCCAAACCCCTACTATTTAGCACGTTAAATCACACCAGAGCAGGCCCATTTAATCAATGAAGACTGAGTCAACTCCTCTGTAAGTTCTAGTAACTAAACGTGGCTTGTTTTAACTACAACTTACTATTTCAATGTAAGTTGCAGCTAGACTAGGCCCATTTGAATCAATGAAACTCATGGAAGAGCTGATTAATTGAGTAGGCCTACTCTAGTGCAATTTACTATACTAAGCAGTAGGATTCTGGCCTCTATTATGAAGACAGGTAACTACAATAGGACCTCCTTATCCATTGGATCAGTTTCCACTGATTCACATATCCAGTCTGAAAATATTAAAACTTAAAAGAGAAATATGCCCCACAAAAGACCTGTTTTCACAGGTATGACCAGAACCGATCACTAGTGGGAGCCAGAGACTGTGTTATGAATACTTGTTAGTGAAGAATATGGTCTCTGGCACACTTTAGTGGTCAGTTCCAATAATGCATGTGAAATTACTTTTTTCCTGTTTTTTTTCCTTTTACCATGCTCTATATATACAATATTTGCTGTTATCTGTGGTTTTCAGTATCCGCGGCAGGCTGTGAACGAATCCCCAGCAAATAAGGGAGTCCTAATGTACTGTAAAAACATGAATGGCTCATTGAATGATCAAATAAATCAAGAAAAGAAGGTGGCAAAAAATAAATGGAAAGGTAAAATGGCTCCTTATTTGTAGAAAATCTTCTCGTATTAAAGTAGCACACCATACTTCAATGTCTTCCTGTTCACATACTATCTTTTGCATATTCCAAAGAGGGAGATAAATTATACCCTCCAGCAAAGCACCACAATTGAGATATACTTTCACAGAAGAGGGCAGAGATGCCAACAAGATGGACTGCATCATCAAAAGGGATGAGTTTGGTGTATATGGAGAATTGCTCTGGAGAGCATAGCTTCCATATACCTTCACCAGCCAATCCTAATACAGGTTTCTTCTGCAACTAAGGAGTCAACAAGCTGCCCAGAGTGAGCAGATCAAGAAGACATGCTCATCACAGGGATAAAGCCAGGACCACAGAAGTATCTCAGAAACTTTGTTTTACTTATAATGGACCAGTGTTGTTCATTTCTTTTGTTTGTAAAAAAAATCAAGCTCAGGGATTGGTTGAAATAGTACTTCCTCAGTTAATATGTATATCAGCTTCCCCTGACTGACCTGGTGCCTTAAAAATGTTCCAAAGAATTCCTCCTCACCAGCCTCATCCAGCATGTTAAGAATTATAATCTGAAGATGCCAAGAAAATTAAGTCTGCAGACTACACTTTGCTGAATAATTACAGACAGCTCTTTTCCCCTTCCCTCTGCAGCAGGAAGAACAGGTAGGAGCACCTGACACATGGATACTGTTACAGGACACAACAGGATACAACATTAAACTGCTTTTTTATGCAGCTGGAAAGTGCAGATTTCCAGGGTCTTCGCTCCTATGCTGAAAGGAGAGATGAGAAGCATTCATGCCTGAAGCTCATCCTCAATTACAAACTGTATGAGTGATGTTAAAGGTATCATTATTGCAAAGAGTCTTGTTGTGGAGGGAACTGGGAAATCCCCACACCCTTGCATCAAACAAATAATGTAAAAAGTACTGCCCAAAAGCCCATTCCTACCCACTGACATCAAGCCTCATTCCCTGCCCCAGGCATTTTTATTCCACTGTGCAGACAATGAATCCTGTGCATGGTTTATGTATCCCTTAACATCCTCAATGAGATACTGAGTGACATAAGCACAATCAACAATTTGATATAATAGGAGGTAGTCCACTATCACTGAAAAAGAGGGTTAAAGAAAGTCTTTGTGGGCCAGTTGAAACCTGTGAGTCACAGATTGCCTGCTTTGGCTTTATAACTGAATGCAGCCAATGCATAAACCATGCATAAACATCTTTGGGAAAATTCTGTTTTTTTCTTTTTACTCTATTGTATCAAAAGGAGAAACTGAGACTGGAGAAAAAAGGAAAATCAAGGCAGGAAGAACAACTCCTTAAAAATGCATTTCTCCCATACAACTGGTACAGATATGCCACTGGGTTCTAGTGTGACATGTTGCATGCAGGACTATACTTTATCAAACTTCCGTATGTCTTCCTAAAGTACTGTATTTTTCAGTGTATAAGATGCTACTTTTTCTTAAAATCGTTAAGACTAAAAATCTAGGGTCGTCTTATACACGGAAGTTAGCTGAGGAGAGAACAAAACGGCCCATACCTTGGCGCTGCAAACAGGCTTCTTTCAATCACAAGGCTTAGCTTCCTAGTCAAGAGACTTAACTGCCTCTAATCATGAGCCTTATGTAACTAACGTCAGCTGATGCTGAATAAACCAATTGGAACACACTTCATTGGAGATGGAGCATGTAGGCAGTGCTCAGACGTGTTCTGAGCCCAGAGGCTTGATGCATAATATGACAGTACTGGTATGTAAATGTTACCTAATTACTTTTAAAAATGTGTTATGTTTCCTGTTTAAAATACTGATGTCTTAATTTGGGGTTAGAAAAGTGGGGGGAGGATGTCTTATACACAGAAAAAACGGTAACTAAAAATAACTGGCTTTTTTCTCTTATGATCATACATGCCTATGAATGTACATCATACAATTTGATCTGCACCAAAAGCAATTAAAGAGCCTTGTGTTACGTTAAAATCTAGTAAGTTGTATTTGGAATAGGTTTTGTGAACTGCAGCACACTTCATGCGTGGACTGTATTAACACACACATTTACTTGCACCACAGTTTGCCCTTCAAAGCATTTCAGTGGGTCAACAAAGTTTCTGTCTGATTTTATTTTCACATTGAATAAATGCCAAACATATAATTGAATAAAACCATGTACAGCTTATCTTTCAAAATCTATATTGTATTATTTCTTGCCGCAGTACAATATTATTCCACACAATACAGAAAAAAGATTAAATTTTTAATACTGTTGTTCAAGTTACTGATGACCCATATGAATTAGCATCCTTCCATGGAAAGGACCAAAAAAAACCTCACTTGTCTAAACAGTTACAACATATTAAGGAGAAAACGACCTGGAGGTTTATTTTATTTTACTGCTGAACATCAAACTTTAACATGAATTTAGTAAGCTCTGTAAAACTTTCTGTAGTGATAACAAATGGTATAGGTTGGATGAATTTCCATTGTCATCTGTTTTCTTGGAATTTCCGCAGCCCTATCTGGTAAGTCAAGCATGGCAGAAATCTAAGATAAAAAGATGTCCCTTTCTAAATTAAAAAAAAATCCTTGAAATGTTCTTTTCTAAACAAAATGGGCAAATCTCAAAATGTTCACATTGCAACACACAATACATTGGCTGAAATCCAGAAATAAGTCACAATTAGAGTAGGCCCACTGAATCAGTGGTGATGTACTGTGTCAGCTCTTCCACAGGTTGAATTGATTCAACAGGCCCATTCTAGTCGTGACTTATTTCTGGATTTCAGTCATTAATTGAACTGAGCCCACTTATTAACCAAAATCAATTACTTATAAAATGTTTCAACAAGTACAAGAATTGTTTTTCAATAATGGTATTATTGACACTGTTATGTTTTAAAATTATACTTGTGTCAACTGACCCCACAATTCAGTAAGACCCAACAAAACTTTGCTCTTTCTGCTAGCAAGGTACTAGCATGATCATTTTAAATGGTCTACCAATTTTTAAAGAAACAATTCCCCTTCCAAATACAAATGTTCAGAAAAAACACACAAGTAACTTTCTGTTCCTATCTTACTTATCTATATAAAGTATTTCCCAATTTGCTGCCCAACATAACTCTCAAAGGAATATCTCTTCATTTATATGAATATAAATAAAAAACATGGAAATTAGTTTCAACCAATAACAGTATTTATACTAAATTCTGGCTATCTACAAGCTGCAAAACAAAATATTCTGTTTTTTCTATACCCTAACAAGTTTATGTATCTATGCATATAACAAGTTTATGTATCTATGGATATGAACTTTTCAGCAATAGTTGAAAATTACAAAATTACAGCTATTACTGAAAAGGGACCCAGCTCCTGATCTCAAAGAATAATCCCTCTTCCCAGCACACAGATCCATGGCAAAGACTTCAGGTGAGCTCAGCATTAATAGGAGGAATTAACAGGAAATAATTTTAAAAAACAATAGCTGAAATCCAGTAGTGACGACTAGAGCAGGCTCACAAAATGAATGGAACTTGCATACGTGTTTGGCTCACCAAATCCCCACTGATTCAATGGGCCTACTCTAGTTGTGACTTACTACTGTACTGGATTTCAGCCAATGAGTTCTTATAAATGACAGCAGGTGTACACACTCCCCTTTTGCACCCCATTATTCTACATTTGGTGCTAAAGCAACTGGCCAAAAAATAAAATAAAATCAGGACAATACCAAGGGATGTCTGCATTTCTGAGAGCTGCCAGCTGAGGATAATGTATATATTTTTTACTCACATTTACCAGAATTAGTATCATTCTAGTGGCCCCACTCATAATCATATAGAGCACATGGACTTTCAAATAGTACTAGAGTGTAACTCCTACTGTTCATCATCACAGCCTATGCTGGCTAATGGAAGATGGCCATAAAGGCCAGAGGTACCTAAAGCCCTGATGTAAGGCTAGAGATGGACTAGGAGACTCTATGACATCCACCACTACTTCTCCTATTTCTCTTCTAATGCCATATCTTCTCCAGCTCAAAATCATCCCAATGTTTGTTTTAGTTAACATTTCCTTCCCTTTGGCCCCATCTGCCTAACCCAAATGGAAACACATTTCTTCTTCCCATTACCTATCACAACCAAGTCACCAAACACACACTCTGTATCTCTACATATATATTGCATTTCCTTAAGAAAATACTTAACCCTCTGCCAATGTAAACATAATTTAAAATGCAACTCAATATGTAGTTACATTTCAGCAGCACCTTCAGCAAAGCAAGCAGACATACATCTATTATAATCACATTATCTACCATACTTATTTCACTATTGAACTTACCTTTCTTTTCGATCCAGACTGCTTAAAATATGAAAGAGAAAAATATCATAAGATACAACACCTTTTAACATCAGTAGATCTTTGAAAATGTTTAGTCGGCTACTTATATGCCAATATTTAAATCAAATGGAACATTCATTCATTTTCATAGATACGATTATGCTTAAAACTAGTCACCTAAACAAGAACGAGAAGCCACTGATTCTGGTCAGAAGATATTAGGCATGAACCATTTATAGGTTCTTTTGCAAGTTTTTTAAACTTCAAAACTCAGAATTCTCCATTCTGGGAGTTCCAGCTGCCAAGCCCTCACCAAATTGTGTTCATTTGGAGAAAGGCTGAGCTGGAAGGCTTCATGGCCTAGAACAGGTATGAGTCTGGCAGCAAGACCTCCCAGAATGGTGAATTATGGGTTTTGGAGTTCAAAAAACAAACAAAACAACTGGCATTTGCCTAGGAGACATATCAGAATATTTAAGGTAGGAGTCTTTATTTTAGATCTGACCCCGCTATTCAAGCCAGAAACTGCCCCATTCCAGAAAAGCCTGTTCTTTGGAAAGGGGCAGGTATGGTCAGAGATCTTACCTCATTGGGCTCTGCTGTACAAAAGATGTTCCAAGTACCTTTTGACAGCAGGACCCATAGTTCGTTACCCCACAAACTTCTTCCTGACCAAAAGGTCAAACAGGAGAAGAAAGTGCCTTCTTCTCACTGCCTTGCTTTCTCTGGAACAGAAACAACTGAGGAACAGCAGTTTGGCTCTGTGCAGGAGGCAAATCCCCTCTAGGCTTTCTTTCAGCTCTGGGGTTGGAGAAAGGAGAGGGAGGATCACTGCACAACTACCCAAATAATATCTGATCACGTTTCCATTTTCAAAGCTGAGGAAAGCTGGCAACTACTCACTGGCAGGCAGTGGCAGAGAATACATGGCAAGAACAGTGTGCAGATTTACAGTGTGCAGATCTGCAGAACACTCATTTCAGTTCATGGTTCTGTTCAGAAAGACTGTTTAAAGAACACTGTGAGAAACACTGAAATGTCTGAGGACCTGGACTTGTCTATGAAAGTTCACATTAAAATATAGCTGTGGCTTTAAAGTGCCACAACATTTTTTCTTTATATTTTATTTATGTTTTGTTTTTGCCTGATATAACAATTAAATGGTTATAGTTAAGAGTCTCATTTTGTGAAGAAGTTGCAAGACAAATTATTTGAAGATAAGTAAATGTAAAAAAATATTGCCAGAAAGATTAAGCAGAGATCTATGGTGCAATGACATCTAGAAGTGCCTTCAAACAGCAAAGCTCTAAAGGTTCCCAAGATCTTCAAAAAGAAGGACAGAGGCTGAGACAGAGAGGGTAATTAACTACATATACTATGAAAGAATCACTCAAACTAAACAAACGGAATGTGCTTCTACTTAAAAATGTCATGTTTTAACTCAGTTTTCTCTCTTTAAAAACATGCCGACACTCCTTATCCTTCTACTTCTCATTTTGCTTCTCTTTTTAAAAAATAAAGCAGAAAAAACTCATTCTAAATACAATGATGGTTTAGCAGCTGTAATATAGCTTTGATTCAAAAATCAGGATCAGAAAGATTTGGGGAGTTCTCAAGCACCACATTTGGGAGAAATTCAGTAGAAAGTAACAATGTCAGGAATACCTGAAATATCTCTCAGAAGATTCTAAACTGTTTGGAAAACCAGTGCTCTACTGGGCACACTGAATTAAAATATGATTTTTCATGTATTTGAATTTTTTTTTTGATAGGAGCATAGGGTGCAATAAAATGTGCTGTACTATAGCTCCAGTGACTTTACTAAGTTAAAGCTAAGCAATTGTGTGGACTGTCAGTGACTATAAAAGGTAAATATAGCAGCATGAATTGAGAGAGGATTTCTATGACATTTCACATTCTCTCTGCAACCTAATAAACTCATAAGCAAGTTCAAACATGTTGATGAGTAATCTGGCCTTTCTCACTGGATTACTCATTACCATGAACGAACTCATCAATAAGCTCAAACGTACATTTCAGAAAAAATATGACATGTCATAGGAATCCTCGCCCTACTCATGAAAATTGTCTTGGGCTTACAAAAAAGAAGTGTAGGTCATACAAACCTTTCTATATACAAAGAGAATACTGTTAGTGCAAAAAGGAAGGTACACTGCACAAATAAAAGGCTTAAAATGCGCTTCCAAGCAGTAAAAAGGTTCTGTTTATTTGTAAATAAATAGATATATACCAAGTAGAACACATTAATACTTAGAAGTACAGTGGTGCCCCGCATAGCGATGTTAATCCATTCCGGATTAATCGTTGCTATCTGGAAACATCGGAATGCGGGTGGGAATACCCCATAGAAACGCATTAAACGCTGGGGCAAAAATTCACCGTTATGCGAAGATCCTCCATAGCGCTGCCATTTTCACACCCTCGGTAAGCGAGGAAACCGCGCAAAAATGATTGTGGCGGCCATTCTGGAACCGCCGATCAGCTGGCCGAAAATGGGGCCGGGGCTCGGGCAGGAGAAGGCTCCCCTGCCCTCCTCCTGAGCGCACGCCGGCTTTTCTCCGGAAGCGCTTCTCCGGGAGCAGCCGAAACGCCCGCCTTTTGGAACTGCTGACGGGTGGGCCTCTGGGCTGCTCCCAGAGAAGTGCTTCGCTGCGAGCAGCCCAAACGCCCGCCGGTCAGCTGTCAGTGGTTCCCCATGAGCAGGGCAAAGCCCGTTTTTTGGAACAGCTGACCGGCAGGGCCTTTGCAATGATCGTGGGGGAGCGCTCCCCCACGGTCATTGCAAAGCGAATTTTCCCCATAGGGGCCATCGCAAAGCGATCGCTCTTGCAATGGCAAAAAGTCCATCGCAAAGCAATTTCATCGCTAAACGGAGTGATTGTTATGTGAGGCACCACTGTATTTACCATTTGTCACAATCTGAATTATACTTAAAATTGCTTTAATTAACATACTTACATAGTAACAAAAGGAATAATACAAAATTACACAAACACACTACAGAATACAGTGGTGCCCCGCATAGCAACGTTAATCCGTTCCAGGATTAATGTTGCTATCCGGATTCGTCGCTATGCAGGGGAAAAAACCCATAGGTACGCATTAAACTCCGTTTAATGTGTTCCTATTGGGGAAAAACTCACCGGTAAGCGAAGATTCCCCCAGCCAGCCGCCATTTTTGCTGCCCGGTAAGCGAGGGCAGGGCGTGAAAATGCTGCGGGTGGCCATTTTCTGCACCCGGCAGCCATTTTGGAACCGCCAATGAGCTGTTTTCTAAACATCACAATGCGAAGATCGGTAAGCAAAACGCTTACCGATCATCGCAATGCAATGTTTAGCCTATCCAAACATCGCAATGTGATCGCAAAAAACGCTTCGCTATGCGGATTTGTCGTTAAACGGTGCGCTCAGTAAGCGAGGGACCACTGTAGTTCATACAGTCCCATTGTTTCTTCCCACTAGAACTTAGAATGTCAGTACAAGAGGGTTAATTTATTCTTATGTTAGTGGACCCTAAAATTTAATTTGATTTAGATTCTATATATCTCACAGTAAATTAAACATAAAGCAATTAAGTTAATTTTAAAGGAAATTCTAGAAGAAAATGACATATGTTACCATTCAGGGTTTTTAATAGTTTATGTCACTTCCCAAACCTGGAACTTCTTGGATGCATTTGACTAGAAACCCTTCCATTTGACTTGGCATGACAGAATTTGCAGTCCAACACAGCTGGAAAATGCTATGGTGGAGAATGCTGCCCTGAAGCATGGATCAGAAAATTTGTTCCATTATCTTCACCTCTCTTCTCTCCCACTGAAACAGTTTAATCCACCTCCCAAAACTATTTTTTTTCACTCCGATCAGAAAATTTGTTCCATTATCTTCACCTCTCTTCTCTCCCACTGAAACAGTTTAATCCACCTCCCAAAACTTTTTTTCTCTCATTCTAAAACCACTTTAGTCAGTTTGTTTGGACTGACAAATATTAATAAAAATGATGTCCCTATTATAATTAGAGGCCACCGGTCCAGTGCAGGACTGAAATACAGTAAAGAGGCTCTATTTTGAGGGCCTCAGACCACATGCAAGACATTTTTTTCTGCACTACTGAACAGATGAATCCCTTACATTAGTATTGTTCTGCTTGTAAAAGATGGTTAGCAACTTCTTCAAATCCCTCCATTATCATCTAATTGAAGTTCTTGGCTCTCCTCAGATTTCTCCACCTACTATTTTCTATAAAGCAGATCTGAGGTATTCTTATATGCAATGCATATTTTACCCACTGTGCTTGACTCTGTCTGTTTCTGCCTATTCCCATGTGATAGAGTCAGTTTCATACTGTAGCCAGGAAATTTAAAACACCCCTCAAGCTGCCACTACCAACATAGCCAGCTTCAATTCTCCTTCTTCTGGTTATGGCTCAGACTTTTTCCATGGCTTCACTTCTAGCTACAGCCCCAGCAAAACAAAACAAATAATCCAAACAATTAAAGTTGTGGGTAAATATTAAACCAATTAGGAACGAATTAAGTTTACCTACCATGTTAATAGTGTTTGACCATTACTGGGTTAAGATCAATCTAATTAGATTAGCCTGGCTAGTTAAAATAAATAGATTATTACAAGCCTTCTTTCTAATTTTCGATGCTTTATTTCTCTCTAATGCGAACTTCATGTCTGTCCTATCAACTACAAGCAATGTTGGATAAAAACTGCCCAAAATGTTATAATAGAGGACTTCTGGCCTCACAAAAAGTATAGCAGTGGAATATGGATTCTTCACAAAACAAGTTCATATTTTTGCGTCTCCATCCTCCATTTATGGGCACTACCTGCTACTTGAAAGCCAGGGATGGTCCTAAATTATTTTTACAAGGAAATGTACCAAATCTACCAGCAAAAAACAATTTATGGTGGAGTGGGTGTGGGTGTTACAGCTTACTTGACTATTATAAAAGGGGGTCACAAGCTGAAAAAGTTGGGAAACACTGCTCTAAATATAACTTCTCCTGAACTGCTGACTGCCTCCATATTCTGCAAGCTACAGAATACTGAAAGCCTCTGCCTATTAGCTGACAACAGTGGTAGTGGAAGGAGGACATAAGGGAATAAAAAAGAGGAGACAAAGAACTGAACAGCAACTGGATGGGCCAACATACACTACCTGCTTTTCATCTGTGTTATCCTTGTTATGTTATATAAGAAGAGGACTGCCACAGAAATATATTTCCTTGGGTTCTAGGGAAAGTTAATACACTTCAAAAATCAGAATGGACTTTCCACATTAAAACCTAGAGAGAAATGTCAATCCTCACTTCATGAATTTCTCTCTAAAACATGCAAGAATCTCCCACACTTCATAAAATAAAGCATCTCTACTGGCTCCAGGCTCTCCACTCTCTCCATTTAGATCTGAGCCTTAATGACTGAAGAAAAAACATGAGTACCGTACACTAATAACACAGTACAGTGCTGCCTCGCTTAGCGATTTTAATTGGTGTCAAAAAAACCATCGCTATGGGAAAACATCGCTAAGCGAAACGCGTTTTCCCATACAGATGCATTGAAAACCGGATAATCCATTCCAATGGGAACGGATTGCTGTCCTTAAGCGAAAATCGCCATAGGAAACATCGCTAAGCGAAACGTGGTTCCCCAATTGAAATGCATTGACACCTATTCAATGCATTTCAATGGGGAGGAATTACAACAAATTCAAAAAGAGTCAGAACAAAGTCAAATTAGTTTAACAAAGGGTTTATTAAGTGCACTTATGATTTCAAGCATTCTAAACCCTTTTAAAACATTTTTACACATTTAAAAAACAGCCAACACGGGGCTGTCAAAACCATCGTTAAGCGAAACAGGGGGACGCAAACTGTCATCGCTAAGCGAAGCAAGGTCCCAAACATCGCTATGCGAAAATCGCCCATAGGAAAGATCGCTAATCGGAGCACAAGATCACTCCGAAAAATCCATCGCTAAGCGAATTGTCGTTAAACGAAGCAATCGCTAAGCAAGGCACCACTGTATAAGCAAGAACAAGTTGTGACATTGTACCACATTATTACTGGTCACAGAGAATGTTTGTTAAGGTATCTGATTTGGCTTTCAATTTTCTCACTTTTTGAGGTTTCGACCAGTGGCTTTTTCACTGTATACTCTGTCTTTCTCTATGCATGCAATGAGAGGTGAAAATTCCAAGAAGGAAATAGCATCTTTGGCTGTCCTTTACTTCATTCATTTTACCTATATTCTACCCTTCTTCTAATAAAGTGACTCAATGTGACCTCTTACTACAAATATTTATATGTGCAATTTCCCTATTCATTTTACAAGTGTCAGCACTTCCAGCAATAATAAGTTTGTCCTTCATTTTCGAAGATGACCATCTCCATCAGATTCACCATTTAGGGGAAAAAGAAGTGAGTTGTTAAGGTTGAGCCGTAGCATGTTGACGGGCCCACAGACAATTAAGCAGCTCAATATAAAGAGAAAGAAATACACAGTTTATATGTCCCTTACAAGTACAAATACCAAATATTTCTTACAAAAAAAGCAAATGTAAGTTTTATAAAACAAAATATACAGATTGATTGTAACAGAGAGAAAAACTGCATTTATCCATCACATCTTACCTTTGAGCAGCTGTTTTTACCATCGGTGTTTGTCCATGAGTGTGGTGACGTTTAACTTGTACCAGTGTTCCAGGGCAAGATATATTCTGGACATTTTCACTGCAAATGTAAGCATCAAGTTAAAAAGATGTTAGCATTCACAATATGGCCAAATTGTAACTTTGTTTGGAGAAACTCTTATCCTTCTCTTCATTCTCTAAGTCAGTGGTCCCAAAACTTTTACCAACCATGGACCGTTTTTGGGGTGTGGTGCGCCCGCAGGGGGGCAGAGCTTGCTTGCTTGCATGCATACACACAGTGCGCTCACGAGGCAGAACATGCTCACATGCATGCACGCGACGGTGCCCATGGGGGCGCACGCACAGGGGCCAAACATGCTCTTTGCTATGTGCACAGCATACGCACAGGGGTGGAACGTGCATGCACACGACAGCATGGGGGAGTAGGAGATCTATGTTCGTGGCCCGGTCCGGATAAGCCGCGGACCGCTACCAGGTCGCGGACTGGTTGTTGGGGACCTCTGCTCTAAGTGACATTTTTCGGTGGTGAAATGTTTGATTGGCCAGCAACACAAAACACTGTCAACCAACAGAGGAAATAGGAAAGAGACCTTTGTACCCAGTTGTTACTTTTGCCATTTCTAGTTATTTTTAAGCACTTCAATGATTAGAATAAAACATTCAGGTGAAACCTACCCCGTTTCCCCAAAAATAAGACCTAACCTGAAAATAAGCCCTGGTATGATTTTTCAAGATGCTCGTAATATAAGCCCTACCACAAAAATAGGCCCTAGTAAAGTGAAACCCCACCCTCCACCATTGTGCAGCAGCCAACTGACATAACTGTATTTGGATAAATGTAGATTGTTGTACATGAAAAAAATAAAACATCCCCTGAAAATAAGCCCTAATGCGTTTTTGGAGCGAAAATTAATATAAGACTCTGTCTTTTCAGGGAAACATAGTAATATGCCACCAAGCTTGCCTCAGTTTTCCAGAACATTTGGGATTTTTAAAGCAATAATGTAGCAAACCTGTAGCATCCAGTCAAAAAACTTACAAAGACAGCATCTCAGGGCTTAGTCCACAAAACATCTGATAATAGTAACATAGCATTTTAACCAATTGTGAGAGTATGTCAGCAAAATATAATCATTCTTTTCACACTGCTACATACACCACTGCTACTTCAATCAGTAAAACACCACTAACTAAACTACTTTGAGTATATTCAGAAGCACTGTACCCTATTTTCTTAGTGCTTCCCAACATGTTGAGTCCAGTTGAATTTCCTTTTAAAACCCTAGAAGTGTCTGTTTTGTTCCGTCTTGTGTATGTTCTCAAGCAATCACTTCTGGTACCAAAAGTTACTGAGCTGTAAAATGGTAGCTGAAACAGAACAATTAAGGAAAATTTAAATGTACACAGCATGTACCAAATAAAGACAGAGTTCTACTGTACATTTCAGTTAATTTCAGACATTAAGATACTCTCAATCCATTTTTCAAAGAGCTGCATGCTTCAAGTGTCAGATGTTTACGGGCCTGATGCAAAAGATGCAAACTAAATAGTTACAAGGTAGAAGTGGAGAGCCACATCAACAGTTCCATTATATTTCAAGGCTTATCTTTCATCAGAACCAACCTCTCGCTAGAATGCTAATACCACCAATGGTGGCTAAACATCATAATCACCAATTAATGAAAATTCCACATCAGGAAACCTCAGACTTGAGAAAAGTGATCTGAGCAAAGACAATAAACATTCCATTAAAAATACGTTATCTTTGGGCAGGATTTTTCTCAGTAAACTTTGCCTAAGAGGGTCTTAAAAACAGGGCTGCTGTTTGGCTGATAGACAATGTCTGTGGTTTTGTTTGTGGGTTGTTGTTTTTTTTTTAAGAATGGTTTTAAACTGTTTTCATCCACCAGTTTTTAAAACAATATTTGTTTAATTGGTTGTTGTGGGTTTTTCGGGTTCTTTGGCCATGTTCTGAAAGTTGTTCTTCCTAGCGTTTCCCGGCCGTGAAAGCCTTCGTGGATACATTTGTTTAATTATTTTTTAATATTATAATGATTATTGCATGATTTATTTTTTAAACAAGGTTTTAATACTGCTTGACCTACTATTTATTATAAGCTACCTTAGATCCTTTGGAGAGAAAAATGAGGTACAAATATTTCTGAATAAATAAATGACATCTGCTAAAGGGGAACTCTCAAATAAAGTGATCTGCAGCTTTTTTTAAAAATGTGAGAACATTATGAAAATCTGCTTTATTGGTGCTTCCTACCCAAAAACATAATCACATTAAGTTCTTCTAAATGCATCCACATAGACACAAAACCACAAGTTCAGTCTTGGTAGTCTACTGTATTCAGAACTCTGTCAGCAAAGGAACAGATAACATAATAATGTACTACTAAAACAATACTCCATACTGGATTTTTTTAAAGGGTTAATTACTGAAATATATACACTTCTACATACACATATCTATGGTGTGCACTTGATGAATTTAAATCATAATACATGAATATGTACTCGTGCACATGTGTATAAATATTCACCTTTTTTTCACCATTGGGGCTGCTGGTTCCATCACTCTCATCTGCACTCAGCACACTGGCTTCACTAAAAAGAGAAACAGGAGAAGATATATACCATAATTCAACAACAGAAAAAACACTGTTTTAAACAACCTTGAAAAAAGTAACCATGTCCTGGTAATATTTCTTTGATCTAATAAACAATCTAAACAGTTCACACACTTCTCTCTAAACTGTTATGGTGCTATTTCACCTCTAAATAAAGTGTATATGAAAACTGTGCTGAATTAGAAAGGGAAACAATGATATTCTTATGAAATTATTGAAAATACAGTATGTAAAATACTGTATGACAAGGTTTCACAAGCTCTCTTTTGTATGGATTTCTGGATAAACTTTAATTGTTGCTGATGTATGCATAACACAGAAGATGAGATACAAATCTGAAGCTTTGTAACCATTATTTGGCCTGTAGATGAAAAGCTTTTGCTATGTTGCTGTAAATTCAATAAACCTGGCTTGTTTCACAACACACATGAATATATAGCTGTCAACAACCACCTAATTCTACATGTGTTGTACTGATATTTTATTTAAACCTTGAAACTCTTGCTGCATTTTATCAGGACTATGTTATACTTGATACCCAGGGGTGTGTGATTCCCTCCTCACTCAGTAAATCCAGTGACTTACCAGCAAAACTCTTTCCTACCAGCTATATGAAAGCTACGGACATTTTAGACACCTGGCAGATTACATTTTCCAATACAGATCCATGTGATCACTAAAGTTATTTTTTAAAAAAAGCCTTGCTGATTAATTCACTACCTATAGTATGCCATTTAGTTGTCTTCTCCATTGTAGTTCCCATCTCTTGAAATGTTCTCCCATCCACATACTGGGACAGTATCAACTGCACAATGCATTTTGCACCCATGAAAGACTCACATCTTCACTTAACATTGACTGCACTGCCCAGTTTATGAACTGTGTTTTGAATATCTGATTTTAAATACTTCAACTGATTATTCTAACGGAGATAGGGATCCTCCAATAAATTATATGCCTACAGCGTAAATCAAACAACATTCAGTATGATATGGGGCAATTTTTTTCCTGGCTTTTATATTATTTGTTTTAATTTTGCATCTTGGGTCTTCTTAAGGGGAAAGGCAAGGTATAATTATTTTAACAACAACAACAACAGATTAATGCATTACTCTCAGATTAATACACTCAGGAAACAGGGTATATAACACACTGGCAAAATAAAGGGGGGGGGAGGCAAAATATTGTAGCACTAACAAATCTACCTGAGTGTGAGATTTTGTGGACCATGTTTTCAGACACACATCTGAAGAAGTGAATTCTGATCTATAAAAGCTCAAACTCAAATAAATCTGTTAGTCTGAAAAATGCTATAGTATTTTACTACTACTACTCCCCCTTCCTTTTCACAACATATCGAGACAAATTAACACAACTTGGAAAAAATTATAAAAGTCTTGAAGTTTTATAAACATTGAGAATAAGAGGGACTAGTGGCACAAGGAAGTAGAAATAGTGCGAAAAATAACCAACTGCTGCTGAAAGAACTAAAGTCCCACTGCAATCTTGTATGTCTCCTCCTTGACCAGCTCAAATTATTTCCCTTTTTAATCTATTGAAAGATAACTGAAGCTTGGCTGCATAGAGCAGATCAACATGTTATATAGTTCCACTGAGATACTCTACTGAATTTCAGGGAATGCTTCCCACTTGCTATTCAATTAGCAGGGAATTTCCAGGTCAAAATTGTCCACCTACCTCCAGTCTTAATTTAATCAAAACATCTCAAAATAATGCCTCATTTATATGTTACAAAATTCCTGAGAAATCAAGGGAAATCTGTAAGAAGTATTACAAAGCATACTTCAAAACCCAGGAAAAATTGCTTAGGAACTAAGCCCCCAGGAGTTCTCTATTCTTGACTCCCTTCTCTCTGTCTCTTAGTTCCCTGCATGTGCCCTTTCTTTCTGCCAGCTCTCTACTGGTATTGACTCGCACCTTGAATAATCACCTCTTCCTCCTGTGTTCCAACGAAACATAAAGGAAGGCATTCATTCCCCACCCCAACCTGCTTAAAAATCATTTTCCCTTTTTATTCCCATTGTACCATCCTCATCCATCTACTTGCCCTGAAGAGACATTGAACAACCACAAAATACAATCCATTCATCACCAAAACACTGCCTCTTCCTCCATTTTCACCAAGAAAATGCCATTTGTTAATTATACAATAATATGACAATGCTTCATATTTCTAAAATCCTTTTTCAATAAAATAATAAAGGGAGAAAGGTTATCATGGAAACAACTGATAATATTAATACTGAAAACTAATAAAGATCCTACTGATCTTGAGGCTTATACATCTATTTATTTAATAAATCACGATGCCAAGATATTTACAGTAATATTAGCAAAGCAAATGAATAATTTATTACTAAATATATTGAAGAAGAGCAAGCTAGTTTTAAGCCAGGACAACAAATGTCTAACATGGTAAGAATATTAAATGTAATAGAATTTCAAAAGAAAATTTAAAAACAGAATTTCAAAACAAAAGATTGATATGTATAATTTTATTAGATATTTTAAGGCATTTGATTCAGTGGAATGGCCATCTTTAAAAATGATAATTAAGGTGTTGGGTTTTAACAAGCACTTTTAAAAATTAATAGAACTGTATTCGGAGAACACTGAAGCAGTGTTAGTTAATGATGTAATAACAGAACAGATCTCTCTAGGCCAAGGAACTAGGTAAGGGTAACCCTCATCCCCTGTACTGAATTATGCTATTAGAAAAAATAAAGAGATTTTACATAAGGAGAAAGTTAAGATTAATTTATTTGCTGATGATATTTCTCATGATACCTTGTTAACAAAAGAAAATCCTTTAAAGGCTGTAGAGAGGATTAAATTACATTTAAAAGAATTTGGAGAGGTAACTTGGTTTGCAGGTACATTGGTGTAATGTTGGTTTTTAACTATAGTAAAGAGGAAAAGGAAACATCTGAAAAGAAATTAGTGTTAATTAGTGTTAATTTGGAAAGACTAAAAGAAGAGATCTTTACAGTACTGAAACAGGTAAGTTGGAGTAAGCTAGCTGACTTAAGGAAAACTGGAATGTTATGGTTTGGAAGAGTTGCAGAATGTAAAATGAAGATATTATCTAAGATTAATTTTTTAAATTTATGATGTCACCAATAAATATTGGTGGAGAAGAGTTAAAGACTGGCAAAATATGATTAACAACATTTTAATGGAAATAAGAAACTATGAGTTAATAAGAAATTATATAACTTTCAAAAAGGGGGGGATCAAGGCTTCCTAGCTGCCAATCAATTAAGACATACTGTATATCAAATGTTACCCCCCAAAGCCCAACAAATTAATTTAGCTAAATATGGAAAGGCAAGTGTTGCATTTGAATTTTATAACTATCCTCTTTTTAAAAGACATTAAAAACAAAGTTAAAAATAGAAAATCCTTTTCTTAATAATTTGGAATATAGAAAATTGTTTGTTCTGTCAATATCTCAATTATCCCTGGTAAGACAGCCAGAAAAATTCCCAGAGAATCTTAAAAGCCAACTGAATATTTTCTTAATAGGCAGGTTGTTAGGTTAAAGGAATGGCTAGAAAAAATGGTGAATAAAGAATTAATAAAAGAAGTGCTAGGCAAGATGAAATATCTTGGTGCAATGTCATTCAATTAGAACACTGGACGTAGAATGGATAAAAAGAAATGGTAAAAATAGGTAATACGAAGGAAATACGACAGAATGGATGTGTAGGAGATGAGAAAGTATGGAAGAGAATAATAAGTAAAATTCACAATTTATTATTGGAAGCAGAAGAATAGGAAGGTTTACTTAAAATGTTGTGAGAATTTGATTTGGGAGAACAAATAAGCTGTAGTGCTTGGAAAAATATGGAACATTAGAATACTGAGATCCACATCAATAAGGACAAAAGAATTTTTTTATAAGTTAGTGTGGAGATGGTATTTAACTTCAGTGAAACTTAGTCAAATACAGTGGTGCCTTGCTTAACGAGCGCACCGTATAAAGACGAAATCGCATAGCGATCCGTTTTTTTGGATTGCTAATGCGATCGCTCAATGAGCTTTAGACAGGGAGAAATTCGCTTTGCGAAGATCGGTAAGCGTTTCGCTTACCGATCTTCGCAAAACGAAGCTCCGACGATCAGCTGTTTGGCGGACAAAATGGCCGCCAGAAGCCCCAAAATGGCCGTGCGCAGCGTTTTCGCGCCCTCCCCTCGCTTAACGAGGGCGCGAAAATGGCTGCCGGCCATAGGAAACCTCGCTGAACGGTGAGTAAAGGAGCCTTTTGGAATGCATTAAACGATGTTTAATGCGTTCCAATGGCTTTCCCTGTCCCGTTCAGCGATGTTTCGCTATAGCGAAGGTTAATCCGGAACGGATTAACCTCGCTATGTGAGGCACCACTGTAGACAACAGCTATTTTAATATGTGCTGGAGAGGGTGCCAGAAAATATACACTTATTTTTATATGTGGTGGGAATGTGAAGATAGATACAGCAATGGTTGTCAATGTTAATTTTTTTTAATGCACTAGGATCTAAAGTTCAAGAACACGTCTACACACATTTCCAGCTTACCGCCAAAACTCTCTCATTAAACACACAAGGACCACTGCACATCATTCCTTAGAATATAAGAGGTTGTAATGAGTTGGGTTCCGGGTTGTTGTCACCATAAATAAGTCCCACTATATTAACATAGCCAACATGTAATATTATGTTGCTGCATTAACATTCTGCATTCCTAGAACAAAAGTTCATTAATATCTTAACTGGGTTTCAATGCTCTTACGGTCCAGAACTGGAACTATCTGAATATTTATTTTTAATGTGGACTATTACAAGAGGACCATAGGATTACTTCACATGTGATTTCTTATTGGAATTATCCTTATGTAGGAAAACTATGTTGGACCTCTTAACTGATCCAATTCTCTTTCCACCTCCTTTCTCCTTCTCTCCTCTCCTCTTGCTCTGTCCCCCAACATTCTGTACACTATAACCTTTTTAAATGTAGAATATATTGCCACACATGCATTAGGTCAAAAAGTTGTTGTGTACATCAACCTCTACACATTGGTGCTAAATGCAGTTTGTGTGTGTGATTAATCTAGCACAGCCTCTAATAAAATATATAATGTACTACAGTCTCATAAAGACCTCATGACAGTACATACACTATTATCTTTGCTTCCAAAATTTTTATTCAACACACTTCTTTACTGACTCAGGAATCTTACAAGACTAAAAATCTTGGGAAGATGTTTCCAATTAGACCATTAACATAAGCAAAGACTAAAACAGCTCACTGCACTAAAATCTGTACAACACACAGCAATTGACACAAAGACAAAAAAGATACCAGGATAGCAGTAACTCAATGAAATATTCTGCTTTACTTATACATTTCAAATGTTTTTACTACAAAACAAGTGTGAACAATTTCTGTGAATGCCAGAATTATTCTTGCCATCCTCAGAGAGGGGGCCACACTCAACCAATCCAGAAAAATTGGGAAAAAAAATATACACAACAAACGAAGGCTTTTACTACTTAAAATATCTTAAAAATTCCCAGCTTAGTTGTTTTAAATCTAAGCCATGTGAGTTACATAATTTCACATTTTCCTACTTTTATTCCAGATATTGCAAAATGTGTGTATATGTATGCATAAACATACAGCGATACACTTGTTTCTTAATAATGTACAGCTTTTTTAAAAAATAACTAGCCTGAAAGCAGCCTTCATATTACATGAATGTGTGTACATGTATGTCAGAGACAGCTATGCTGTGTCAGCATTACTGTATTAGAGAACTTGGATGTCTAAGATGAAACTAATACCTTACTAAATAATTGCTACAAATCATGACATTTTACTTTTAATGGCCTAAATTAAAATATCCTTACTCTTTCTCTGTATCTCCTTCACTTTCTTCTGAATGATTAAAGCTCCAGTTATTTTTAAAACCTCCATCCCTCTTGGATTGTGATCTATCCAAAGCTGAAACGAAAACAAGGTAGGATCAGTTTTGATTCCAAGCCAAATCAAATCACCAGTCAATACACAGAAAGAGAGTAGTTTTTATACTTAACAATCCCATCTGCTACTGAGAGAAAGCAAAATAGTAATTATTGTTTATTGCTTAACAGTTTTGCAGTGTTTAAACTTAAGAATTTATCTTCAACTCAATCTTACAAAGAAGATTAGATTAAAAAACAGTTATTGGCCTTAAATTGTTTCATTTTTATCAACCCAGCAGGCTACCAAAAGCATTATGCCAACAGTCAACCAAACTAATATTGCAAAAGTGAATGCACCGTATCCGATAGAATTCTTGTCAATACAATACAGTACATCCACCTGAAAGGAAAACACACACAGAAATTCAGGCTGGCTTTTCATAGCTGCTTCAAAAGAACATTCCACATAGGTATCCTTAACCCAAATTCATTAACTGCCCTAAAATCCACCAAGTTATAATGAGGAATCTTGAAAGCTAGTACAAATGATGATTCGTCACTGCAACTGCCAAAATCCTGTTCACTTAACTTTGCACAGTGGATGTAGATAATGTCATCAGCCTGCACCCTAAAATTTATTTTAAATTAATTAAATGCTTCTTATATCCCTCCTTTTAGTCTCTGAGACTCCCAATGAGTCCTGTTCGCTCTGGGGAACCATTGAGAGTCTCAGCATGCGAAGTAAGCCTTCAATCACCAAAAATTGCTGCCAGCTTGCCAGTGGTGAGATCAGAAATACCAGCATTTTTGGCAAGTAAAGAGTCCTACCATGATCCTGAGGCTCCCAAAAGCAAAAGGGGGACCTAGGGAACCTCGGAACCTAGAACAATAAAAATCCTGCAATTTAAAACAAAATTTAGCAGTATGACACCATCAGCTTTCAACACACAAAGTTACTTACATTTAAAATGTGGATCTAATAAAAGCAGTTGCATGCCATAAATAACTGAAAAATCACCTAAGTAGATAACTGAATCTTCCTCTTCACAGGTTACACTTCTGTCTGTGATGTCAGCTTCCTTTTATGGTGCTAGATGTTAACTGGCATGTCTCAAATATGTCTGTTGCAATTTGCCAGAGCAGCACCATTTCAAAACTTCTACCTAGTGAATTTCACCAATCTGATGTATATGGATAAAGAAAACCGCTTGTATTTAGAGCAAATAACAGAAAGGGCAAGGTACCTTCCACTGTTCAAGTGAGTTTGACACATGAGCATATCACTGCTTTACCAGTTGGTACAGAAAAACTGACAAAGCTTCAATAATTCTCTAACAGTACTTCAATTCTCGCAGCAAACTAAATTTAATCTGTAACACATTGCACTAGTGAAGGGAAACTCACTTATGTTATCTGAATTGGTGTGAGTGTAAGGGATCAGGATGTTTAGTTGCCCAGGGAACAAAGTAATTTGCAGTTAAGCTTCTGTAATTAAAAAGAATGCTGCGAGTTTCATCAGAAATTAAACCACACACGGGAGCAAAGAGAAGTCAAGGTAGTATTCCAGGAAGAATGCTATGAACCAGGGCATCATGACCACAGAATGCAAGTTAGAAAATGGTTTCCACCACATTTTCCCTCCTTTTTGCCTCAGGGGGGCTCTAACAGTAACCTTAGCAGATGGTCTTAAAACTCTAGGGATTGGTATCAGATAGGCACTCTCTTCAAACTATGAGGGGCTGCTGATAAATACTGAGCCTTTCCCAGAAAAAAACTGAGCTAGGAAGCTGTAACTGCCACACTATTCTACATATTCCCTCAGGAAGTCAATGCACTTGCGACATCTGTCCTGCAGCTACTTAAGTCCCTGCAAATAAAACTCTTCCAACTGCTGATGTAACCATTCATTTGCAGAATTAGTTGCCTCCAGAACACTCCCCAATCATTGTCCCTTTAGGTGTTTTTTGAGTTTGAGCAACAGATAATAATCAGGAAGGAGCCAGGTCAGGAAAATAGAGTGGATGGGGCATCACTTGAAAGCCTACGGAGGTCAGTTTTGCCATTGTTTCACCTGCAGTGTGTGACGAGGCGTTGTCATGCAACAGGATTGACACCTTTGGAGAGTTTTCCTCAATATTTTTCCTTGATGTTTTGCCTCAACTTCATCAATAAAGCACAGTAATATTTTGCATTGATGGTTGAACCCTGTTGGAGGTAGACCACCAGCAGAAATCCCTTCTTATCCCAAAAAAACTGTTGCCATTTGCTTCTGCACCCACCTTTGCACTTGGAATTTCTTTGGCCTGGGGGAACCACTGTGCCTCCATTCCTTAGACCAGGCTTGTCCAACCTGCGGCCCAAGGGCCGCATGCGGCCCAGGTCAGCTCGTAATGAGGCCCAGTGCAATTTTTTATTTTTAAAGAAATTCCAAAGTTTCAAGTTACACTGCCGGCGCTTGCGGCCGGAATGTGGCCGGGGCATGTCACAACAGAGGGGGAGAGAGGGAAGGAAGGAAGGAGTGGGAGGGGAGGGGACA